CATAGCCATACAACACGACCACCACACCGTCGTCGTCGTCGTCGTCGTCGTCGTCCTCGTCCCTCGTCCTCGTCCTCGTCCTCGTCCTCGTCCTCGTCCTCGTCCTCGTCCTCGTCCTCGTCCTCGTCCTCGTCCTCGTCCTCGTCCTCGTCCTCGTCCTCGTCCTCGTCCTCGTCCTCGTCCTCGTCCTCGTCCTCGTCCTCGTCCTCGTCCTCGTCCTCGTCCTCGTCCTCGTCCTCGTCCTCGTCCTCGTCCTCGTCCTCGTCCTCGTCCTCGTCCTCGTCCTCGTCCTCGTCCTCGTCCTCGTCCTCGTCCTCGTCCTCGTCCTCGTCCTCGTCCTCGTCCTCGTCCTCGTCCTCGTCCTCGTCCTCGTCCTCGTCCTCGTCCTCGTCCTCGTCCTCGTCCTCGTCCTCGTCCTCGTCCTCGTCCTCGTCCTCGTCCTCGTCCTCGTCATCGTCATCGTCATCGTCATCGTCATCGTCATCGTCATCGTCATCGTCATCGTCATCGTCATCGTCATCGTCATCGTCATCGTCATCGTCATCGTCATCGTCATCGTCATCGTCATCGTCATCGTCATCGTCATCGTCATCGTCATCGTCATCGTCATCGTCATCGTCATCGTCATCGTCATCGTCATCGTCATCGTCATCGTCATCGTCATCGTCATCGTCATCGTCATCGTCATCGTCATCGTCATCGTCATCGTCATCGTCATCGTCATCGTCATCGTCATCGTCATCGTCATCGTCATCGTCATCGTCATCGTCATCGTCATCATCATCGTTCTCGAATAGAAAAGGAGGGGACGCGGAGAGGGGGAAAAGCGCCAGGGTCCCGAAGTAAACGCACCATCCCGAGCGCTCGCAATTAAGGGTTAATTAAATTGAGCGGCTTCCTAGATTTCTGTAATCATCGCGGACAGTATCTACGGGGTAATCTTCAGCGCATCCTGTCTGCCTCGAGGGCCCCACGGAAGGAAGGGGCCCCCGAGGTAAGGTCATGCACCCCGCTGACCTCGGACCATCCCGTCTCTCCCTCCCTCTCTGTCTCCCCTTTCCGTGCCACCTTCCACCGTCTTCCCTACTCCTCGCGCTCCTTTAGTCCTATCTCTGTCCGACCACCTTCTTCCCTTGCGCTGCTGTTCTGTTGCTGCTCCTGCTGCTGCCGGCGATACAGGGCCTCCCTCCCTTTTGGTCTCCGCCACCCTCCTTCTCCTTTTCTTCTTCTTCTTCATCTTCCTCTTCTTCTTCCTCCACTTCCTCCGCTCGACCCCTCTTCCCTTTCCTGTTCTTTTTCTTTCGTGCGAGCATATACGGTATACGTAGGTATATATACAATATATATATATGTATATAGGGGGCCAGGTGAGTGTATACAAAGTTACGTGCCCCGTGCTCGCGAGCGACTCGAATTATTATCAAAGACCGGGGCATCATCGCGGATAATGGGCGGATGTCGTTGTGACAGGGCAGAAAACGCGACGTCTTCTCTGCACTTGTATACGTTCCTGTGGGAAAAGCCGCATCGCGGGCAGCCGAGCCGTCGTCTCTCGTGCGAATAATCGTGCGCGCGAGTTTCCCTTTCGCGAAGTCCTCCTCTCTTTCTCGTTCACAATATCAGAGAGTCTGGGAAGTCGTGAGCTTTCTTTGTAAACGAGGGAGCCCTATGACTGAAGTTAAGGGACGATTCTTCCGGTGTCTCTCGGCACTAATGATTAGTATAATGTTTTTTTTTTAATTCGGCCAACACAGAGCCAAAGCGCGAAAAATTAATTTTTCGGAACTGTATCTCTTGGTTTGAGATCACTAAGTTCCATATATATAAATTAATCTCGAAACTTACATATGGAGAATTTCATACATTTTATTTCATATGGAGGATTTCGAGATTAATTTATATATGGAACTTAGTGATCTCAAACCAAGAGATACAGTTTCGAGTAATTAAGTTTTCGTGCTTTGGCTCTGTTGGCCGAATTAAAAAAAAACATCATATTTATATTCTTTATATTGAGAGCCGATAAAAATAATTTCTTACTAATGATTAAGGGTAATGGATATCGGTGAGAGACAAATTTAAGAAATACATTTTTAAATGAAGCAAATGTTAAAGAAAGTTGTGCGTTCACCTAATTTTCTTTCTCCAATATAAATTATTCGCTCAAAAATAATCCTTCCTACACGGAGAAAATTTTCTTTTAGAATTTACCCTATGAAAATCATGGTGATCGTGGGACAATATATTATTGGAAGAAATTTAGAAGAGTTTTTCCGACTAATATTTACCACAACGAAAATATTAATATCTACCACAATAAGATGTAAAATATACTCGATTAATTTTACTACGTACCTATATTAATCTATGTTATTGTGGTATATAATTTATCTCCACTATTGTTAAAACCTTTTTGGCTTCTAACGTCTTGAATCCTAAAAAGGATGCGGAGCAACGTGTTTTGTGATCGACTGATCATGTGCTTAGAGAGCTAACAATTCAACATTAATTCGAACTTCTTCTCCCAATTTTCCTCTCAACACGCAGAATAACCTTCCGCGTTCGTCGATGATGATGGGCCGTGCAAAATCGACGCGTGCGGCCGATACGCGTAAAAACGCGTGATTTACCGGGTTTACGATCGCGGCGCGAGCCCGCTTCGGGGCAGACAGACAGGCCGAGTCGTCTCGGACGGAAGTGGGTATACACCTGGGCAAACCTGGTGCGAGAGAGAGAGACAGAGAAAGAGCCGATGACCAGAGCTTGCGCGCGGCGGAACAAGGTTAGATGTTATCGCGCGCGATGCGAGTAGCCAAGTTCAAGAGCGCTGGAACGTGGAATCACGGGCGGGGATAAGGCGTGGGAACCTTTCCGGCCTTTTCACGGGCTGTAATTAAAAATTCCTGCCCGCAAAACCGACTTCGGCACGCTTTGAGACCAGTGTCCCTTTTGGACGTCGTCGAAGGAATTTCTTTTCATGACACGCGGACGGTTCGAAAGACCTAATCAGGGTCTCGATGAAAAATTCCCTGACTTTTTCGGATTTTCCAAGACCAGACATTCCCTGATTTTTTCCCTAACCTTATTATATATATATAGCATTATTTTTTCCAAATATATAATTTGCATATATCTGTATGATAAATCAATTGAACGTTAAATCGTGAGATTCTTGAGATATTTTTGTCAACGATGAAAAGGTTCGGAAGTTAAAAAAAAAAAAAAAAAAAAAAAAAAAAAATTTTGACGATGAAAATATAAATTAACAAACACGCTGTAGACGGATCGATTTTTAACAACACAAAATTCCCTGACAATGCCCGGTTTTCCGGATTTCCCTGACCGCTAGACACCCTGAAAGACCTATAGACTCGCGACTTGTGTTTGATATGTAATAAATCGTTGCAGAAATAATAATGCTGCGTATATATGTAAATTATTACAAACACACATACGTATATTGTAAATTGCAACAATTGAGAGTTGCTATCGACGTCTTCAATTATCGTTTATTATTCAATTATTACGTATTAATATATGTATACGCAATGCCATAAATCTCGCAGCTCGATCGGAAATAGCACGTGATATCAATCACGATAGTTCGCGTTTACAGGCCGTGTGACGGAGAGTTTAACGGGTGATCATAGCGAGTCGCATGGCGAGGTGTTATCATCATTGGATCGATAGATATTCGTCGGCGATGTTTCTGTGTAGATATAGCGATATCAAACAAGTGGCTCCTTAACCAATGGTCGTAAAGAGCATCGTTTTCTTCGAACAAATTGCAAAATAAAATTGAATTTATTGCCTCGCCTCGTATTTCGAATCGAATTATGAGACAGCAAACGGAGACAGCTTCGTTATTGTGCACTTTGACTCGCGAGTGCGTTGCGCTATTTTAAACCTCCATTCAAAATTTGCTCCAATATCGAAGAAACATCGTTTCTCGTCGCGATGACTTTTCGCCCTTTTGCTACAAAAAAAAACGAGCAAACAAGCAAAACAGGAGAAAAGTTTCAAGTGCCAAATGTAATATACATATCTCAAAATACTTCGACATTGCAGTTTGCATAAAAAGCAAGAAAAATTTGCATCATTTAAATTTAGAAAAATACTTGTGTATATTAAAGCGTATAAAACAAGACTCGAATAATAAATTGTTCCAAGTTGTTAATATTTTACTTAAAAAATCGTTTGATAAAGATTTATTTATTGTAAGAGTTTTAACAAGGCTCTGTAATATAAATATAAATTAAACGTATAAGACGGGCAACAAGAGCCAAATCGCGGATGACAATGCGTTATCCTAACGAAACTAAATAATTCTTCGTTAGAATTAAATACCGGTGCACAAGGCACCAAATTTTTACTTGGACACGGCCAAGATTTTAAATATGAAATAATCTCATATTTTGAGATTTAATTTCAATACCCCTTTAACCCCCCTACGGAAAATAAATAAATGAATGCAAGAGAAAAATATGGATCCGAAAATCGCTGAATCGGGAATCGAACCCGAGACCTTTCGCTTGCCGGGCGACTGCTCTTCCAGCTGAGCTATTCAGATCCTTTCGATTCCATACTTTTCTCTGTTATATATATTAATGTTGGTAAACAAACGCATTTTTTAAGCCAGCGTGTATCAAATATAAGAGTTTTAACAAGGCTCTGTAATATAAATATAAATTAAACGTATAAGACGGGCAACAAGAGCCAAATCGCGGATGACAATGCGTTATCCTAACGAAACTAAATAATTCTTCGTTAGAATTAAATACCGGTGCACAAGGCACCAAATTTTTACTTGGACACGGCCATTTATTTATTGTTCTAATTCCTACTGATAATTTTTTTCTACAAATTTTTTTCTAGAGCTTGGCATTTGTATAAGTTCTCCCTCAAGCACATTTTGAATCTATACAACAAGACGTTCTTGCGGCCTCGATATGATCACCAGTTGAGATCTAACGCTAATAAATTCAAAAAGGGTTCAGTACAGTGCATACCTTCCCGGCGCATGCCCATCTTCAGGCACTTTTTCAAGCGGCAAAACTGGCACTGGTTCCTATGGTGTTGGTCGATGGGACAATTTCTGTTCCCTCGACACGAGTACGTTAGGTTTCGCCTCACGCTCCTTTTGAAGAAACTCTTGCATCCTGAAAAGAAAAATAGAGTTTGTTAAAAAGATAATTGCCAGAGATTTGTTCGCATACAACAAACTTAAAAAATTTCTTAGATATTTATTTTCTCGAATAAAAATGTCTAATTTTAGCCTTCCTCCTGCAAATTTATTAAACAATATAAAAGATATTTAATTCTCTCTAAAATAACATTTCTTTAATTATGCCACAGCATTTAATCTCGTTGAAATCTCGCTGAAATGGCCCCGCTGTAAAAATGTATTGTAAATTCTCAGCAGCCAATTTAAATTTCAATACTTTAATAGAACTTTCTCCATTAATGTCATGTGCGATTAGTCACCTCGCGCGCGTGTTCAATCTTTTAAATAAAAACATCAACCACCTCGCCGCGACTATAATAAGAGATTACTTTTCTACCAACGTTCAATATTAATTCACACGTTGCAACAATCACGGTGTGTAAATCGCGGAAGTTGGTACAATCGACAATCGATAAAGCATAAGCGATTAACTGCCACGTGCTGAAATCAAGATCTATCTAAATGCAGATGGTATGCAGATTCCTATTGATAGAGCTTATATGAGCAGCCATAAACACGACGCTACCAGAGTGCTTATGGAATAACACGATAAGTTTCTCTTGTTATTGGACACATCTCGCGCTACACACATAAAAACGTGCACGCAAACGACGAAGATTGCGTGGCGCGTGATCAGAGAGGAAAGAGAAGATCAGCAGAAGAAGGGATGAGAGACTCGGACCGATGATACGTGATTACGCAAATTCTGTAACATGCACGTTGCAACGAGACCGAGATGCACCTTAAGGTCAACGTAGGGAGCGCGGGTCTAAGTTACGGTGGATGCACGATCTGGCACAATGACGTATACATGCATACATACGCGGTGCTCCTTATGGGAGCGAGCCGAGTCTCTCGAAAGTGCCGACGATCACGAAAATCCTATTAGTAGCCAGCCCGAGAGAGATCGAGAACCCGGCGCTCTCTCTTCTTCGTCATCGATGTCGACAAAGCGCGGGCTTTCGCCGCATTATTCCCGTTATCTAAATTGATGTGACCGGTGGTTTCGATAACTTCGCTGAAAAGTCCGTCCTGTGGGAGCTACTATCCTCCAGAACATTTATAGACATGGTACTTATAAATTAATAATGCAATTCATCAGAATAAATAAGCCCGTCAGATTGATCTAAACAAGTCTCTACGTCTGTGAACAATTTATTATCGAGTAATTTATCTTTAAAGAACTTTCATTAATTTTGCAAGCGTAAATATGCAAGCTCAAAAATCTTGCGATTCTTCTTGAATCGAATATAAGATACACTGAAAAAAATCTATGAAAATTGCTTGTTTAAAACTTGGAAAAATTACTTAATGATCACTAAATCAATTTTTTTCCATATTTTTTTCTAAAGTGAAAATACATCATTCATGTACATTATTTTATAGCATTTATACATTACTAGCATTTCCTATATGTAATTCCATGTTTAATGGCATATTTTTAATCTTGAACATATATAAGAATATACATAATGATTATGCTAGGTAAAAAAAACATAAATATAAATTTAACATATATAAGATAGGCAATAAGAGCCAAATCGCGGATGACAGTGCGTTATTCTAAACGAAACTAAATTTTTTCGTTAGAATTAAATACCTGTGCACAAGGCACCAAATTTTTTACTTGGGCACGGCCAAGATTTATATCTTGGCCGTGCCCAAGTAAAAAATTTGGTGCCTTGTGCACAGGTATTTAATTCTAACGAAAAAATTTAGTTTCGTTTAGAATAACGCACTGTCATCCGCGATTTGGCTCTTATTGCCTATCTTATATATGTTAAATTTATATTTATATTACAGAGCCTAGTTAAACTCTTAAAAAAAACATAATTTTACACACAAAGATTTTATATTAATCCTGTATTCAAATGCCCTCATCTTTCTATTTCTATTTTTTCCATATTTTTTAAAGTGAAAATACATCATTCATGTACATTATTTTATAGCATTTATACATTACTAGCATTTCCTATATATAATTCCATATTTAGTGGCATATTTTTAATCTTGAACATATATAAAAGAATATACATAATAATTATGCTAGGTAAAAAAAAACATAATTTTACACAAAGATTTTATATTAACCCTGTATTCAAATGCCCTCATCTTTTTATTCGCAAAAAAAAAATGTACCGTAATGCTAATCGTATCGAATCGACAGCCCTTTGATTGGCGCGCGAACGGTCGCGCTCGTAGACTCCTTAATGAGTGGGTTAGCTTAATTGCGAGTGGTAATGGAGTGATGGGTGATGGACGGAGGGGGTCCGATAAAGGGCCACGGGGTGATGACGTGGTGCGACACAATTCAATTTAATAAACAGCGAGGCGAGTAATAATTCCACGTCGTAAAAGCACGTGGGACACGCACGTGAGCCGGACCATCAGCGCCGGCCGGCGTGCGCACGATACCGGGGTTAAAAGGTGATATCGGGCTGCGCGCGTTGGTTTTAATTAAAACGGATCCCGCCGGATAGAACGCGCGAGCGCGCACCTGCGCGCCGAGCCAACAAAATCAAAGGTATCTTCTACAGGAAGTGCTTCAATTATCGAGGTTACCCTAATAAGAAACGTCAGAAAGTGAAACGGCTGTATTATATTTTTAAAAAAACGAATTTCAAGATTCGATAGGAATCTTATGAATGTGAAACACATTACGAAATGTTTCTAGATATATAATTTAAAATGTTAATTGAAAAAAAAGAGATATATAGGTTTAAAACGATCTTTATCTATAATATATATTTTACTTCGTAGCTGAAAAAAAATGTCGACACTCGCTCTCCCTCTTATTCTTGCGATATACCTATATATGATCCCCCTGTCTCCTAGTTTGACTAATGACGTTGCTCTTAAATGCCGATGAGACGTTAATAATTACGACGCTATGAGGTTTATTAGATATACACTTCGCAAATTCACTCGAAATTATTTGAGCGAACGGCGATAAAATCCGCGCCGGGTGGAATTACGGCGATGCTATGTAAAGAATCGTGCGCGTACTTCATAAGGATTACGTGTACACTTGGCGAGAGAGGCTCGGTCTTAGGTGTAGCGACTATCACGATCGATGGCACGACGTGTACACATACAGATAAGTAGTTACCGTAGCTAAGTCGGCAATTTATATCGTAACAGGACGCCCGCTGCGCACGAACTTTCGAATCGAGATAAAGAGGTGGCTTCGCTCGCGCGATCTGTAAGTCATTCGCGAGCTCGCTATATTTGACGCTCTCGTTCTCTCGCGCACAAGATCCTGAGAAAGCATCCTCTATCTCGTCGTCAAGATAGAGGACGCGATATCGGTAACACGAGCGATCGCGTGAAGAAAAGCGTGATCCGGGAATGAACTGCTGAACGTGCCTTTTGATACCTAACAAAGATCAAATTATCAGCTTTTGTCAATTATAAATTTTGGTAAAATTTTAATATTTATTAGTAATTCATATATACATATACATGATAGCTGTCTTATAGTCAGGTATATAATTAAGCGTTAAATGTAAATATATATATACTGGACATTAAATTAAATACAATTCACTTGTAAAATTTAATATGTAATCTATAAAATTGACTCTAATAAAGACTAAAATTAATATTGCATTAAACAAAACAAGGTTTAAGACTATTAAGGATTTTTTGAGTTTTAAATTGCGCTTATATACTTTCTGTTTGATTTTTATTAGCCTACTTCCTACCTGAATTTTATAATAATATATAGAACCGTCAAGAGGGAGATGAAAACTGATCCAGATTAATTTTCGCACTAAATCACCTTCTCGTCTTTAAAACCCAAAGTCCTTGACGCGCGACGTTATCGGCGTTATCCCTGTCGTTGCCGACGTCGATGTCGCCGGTATTGGCAAAAACAACGTGCAAGAAGAAGAAGCGGGGGAAGAAAAAAAGACAGAAGGAGAGCCGGGTCGCCATAACTACAAATTGCATCGTTACACGCAAATTACGCGATTATTCTGTGCGAGCCAACCACCGGACGACCACGCAGTACATGTGAGCTCTGTGGTAGCGCGAGAGAAAGAGAAAGAAATAATGAAAGAGAGAGAAAGTAAGCTCTCGCGGAGCACACACTACCGTTTATACTTTCAGATTGCAACTTGCACGCTCGCCGCGAGCTCAAATTGCTCGCGTCGTTGAATTTTCATTGCTCGGACTAGTCTTTCGTGGCCGACATGACGCATTTCGAGTACTCTTCTGAAGGGACAAATTCTCATGAGCGTCGATGAAAGAACCTTAATCCAGTCGGACTTAATCCCGTATGATATCTCTCTCTCAATTGCGGATTAAAAGTCCTAAGTTAAGCTTTCCAAAATGCGCGATTAAAAATATCAAATTTTAAAAATGTTTTCATATACGGCAGTATAAGTTATATACCTTAAAGTATCGTTATAATTGCAGAGTAGTGTATAATACTATCAATCTTGCGCCAGTTGCAGACCCAATTTTCTTTGCTTTCCTTTAATCGCGATTTAATTCCAGATAATCGATTTTCTATAGCTGTGATTTTTTGTAAAAGAAACCTTGGCGAAGAACTCTAATCGAGAAAATATACAATATGATGATTAAGGCACTATGTAAAGTTGTCGAAATATTCGATCAATTTTCTCGATTAAGCTCCCATTTGTGACGAAAAAGTAAACGTTCACCGTTCCATATTAATATCAAGGAGACAATTCGTTACACTGTTGCTTATCCTTACAAAAAATACCGTTTCAAAGGTCTCCAAAGAGGCCTGATCGGCTAACTATCGCATCTAATGAGAATTTAATTTAATTTTAATAGATTGCATTACTCACAGTCTACGGTAATTATGTCGTAAAATCGACGCGTCCAGGCGTGAATTTGCAGCAGATTGATCGATTTACACTTCATATGCATTATCCTCAATGTGCATGAAAAAACTTCAGAGAAAGT